TGACGGAAGAAATAGGATGTACTGCCCAACTGTAGAGGCAAAAGTGGAAGAGTTAGCTTCCACCTCAAGTCCCAGATAGCTAAAGGCTAAAGCAGGGCAAAAAGCAGTTATTATTATTTTACAAAATAAATAAATAAAACAAGTCTGTCCCTTCTTTCAGGAAATTTTGTGGGTCAGCTTCCCCTTTTAAATATGCAACCTTCCATCACTACTGCAGTCAGACATGAAGCACAAAGGCTTGCAAGAATACATCAAAGATCCTTTCTGCTCTCCCAGGATAACACATTTAATACCAATTTCCAGATGACAACAAAGCATACTGTGAAAGAACTGTTACGATTACAAGCAATACAGATTATTATTATTTTTAATACATCACCTTAACTAACTACGCCAACAAAACCTTTAAGCTCAAACCAGGCCTCATCTCCAAATTGCCTCTCACTTCTATAGGTGCTGCTTGTGGAAAGGAGAAACAAAATGTCCAAGATTGATCTAGAACGACTTCAAGCCTTCAGAAATCAGATCCTTTTTGGTAACACAGTGTCTTGGCACATTTCTGGAATGCATCTGGCTTCCCAGGTGCTCCTCTGCTTCACAAATCTGAATACAGAAACTCTCCACTAGCTGCCAACAAGAAAGGCAGAGCCAAAAATATAATCTGAGATTGAATAGAAACTACTAAAACTGAGTGACATCCCTCTTGGTGATTTTTTTTTCTACCACCTTCACACGGTCTACATTTCCCTTAAAAATGAAAGAAATAAAGTAAAATAGGGCCCGTCCCACTCTCAGCATGCATTTAGCAAGCTTGGTGAAGCCATTAAGGCTTCTCTAGCATTACTTGGAACAATACAAAGACTGAAGGTGAGTAAGCAGTCTATTATCTTTAATATTGCCTTGCAGCAAAAGGTAAATTTTTTTTTAAAGATGTTTAAATAAAGTTTTATAAGGTCCATTTCCCATCATTCGGCAGAGGAACAGCTGTGGTCTGATCTCTAAAGAACCATGTGATGAGCACATCCAATCTTCCAAATCATTAAAAGCCCAATGATGAATGAGATCGATCCCTAACCCTCCGTTTTCCTTGGCTTCCCTAAATTAACACCTGATTTACATCCCTAAGAAAAATGGCTTCAATACATAACACACTTTGATAGCAGAAGCCTTATTCTTTTGAAGAGAATTGTAGCCACTGTGTTTTTGTTATTATACCAAAGCATAATATTCTTTCTGTACTACCAAAACTCAAATTATAGGTGCAAACACGTACAGAAGGCCTTTGCAAGGTCGAAGATTATTATCAACCACAACTGAAACTTCACATTTTCAAGTTTGGGTTTCCAAATTCATCACATGCACAGCTAAGTTATGTGTTCTCACCAAAAGCTGCTAGTGGGCAAAGCAGCTCACTTCTGCTTCTCTCCTAGGGGTAGTTAAGTCAAATGCATTTTTTGGTGACAAAGTATGTGCTAACTGGAACGTGTTGAGGAGGGTTTACCCAAGTATTACAAATCTTGCAAAAACAGAAACATCATATTCTGTAAATTATAAAATTCCAATGTGGTTTAAGTGCATAGGTCTGGATTGTTAGTGTATTCACCTCGCAATGACTTGGAATGAGAGACTGGATTATATTCCCCTACCTCTCATCCCAGGAGGCACAGATGTGCCAACCCTTACAGAAAAAAAATAACTTGGGGCTAATTTTGAAGCAAGTGTTGTTTTAAAACCCTCTGGTAATAAATGAACCTGTGGTGCTTACCAGAAGTCTGCCCATACTACTTTCCCTTCCTTTTTTTTTAACATACAAGTTGTCACACTTCTTGACAGCTCTGGTGCTGCCAGGAAAGATCAAAAAGCTTCGAATCCGGGAATAAGAACAGCAATTTCCCTGAGCCACTCTCCAACAACAACTTATTTATGGTTCCAATAAGAGTCAATCCCATTCAGTCTTGCACAAGCGACAAGAGACTTTATATAACACATTCTGGGTTGGAGAAAAAGATATACAAGAAAGTGCATGGGATGTCCACACGTGGCTTTTGCTTAAGGTTATTGAGGAAAAGAAACTACATTGAGGGTAAGAGAAACTTACTGAGGATAAGAACTACAAATTGAATGAATTTCTGAATCCCATAGCTTTAAGTGGCCCGTGCTAGTCCTCAATCATTTGTCAGTCAGGAAATAATTTGAGGTAGCATAGAAATGAGTTACTTTGTTAAAAAAAAAAAAAAAAAGCAAAAATAGAGCTAGCTATACAATCTTGGTATCTCAAGACAAAAAAAACCCCACATTCATCAATTACTTGCTTGTGTACCTCTGAAGAAATGAATTTTCACCAATATTGACATCAAACAGAAATTTTCACACAGCTATGACAGAATTCAACCAGGACTGAAGCTTCCAGGATTAACCCCTTCAAAGCACAACAACATACAGCAAAGCATACTAACCTGTTGTTCGAGACACTTTTCTCCTCTTGGGGTTTGGTTTAAAAACAAAGCAGCCCTGGAGAATAGCAAGAAAAATAAAAGCTTCAAAATCAGCATCAATCTGACTGTGACTCCTCATGCCACTTTGCTCCCTGCTAAACTTAGTGCTCCACTAAACCAACAACTAGAAATGAAATGCCAGCATCCTACAGATACCAATTTGTTTGCTGTGCTTTATTTTCCTGTTTCACGATGGAAAAGCAGTGGATGCAGTATCCCAGCATCCCTGTGAGGAACCTGTTCACCTTTCAATTATGTTCTTCAGCTCATCCATCAGATAGAGCAGCAAGAAAGGAATCCTTGAACTTCTCATGCACCTTCATTCAATAAGCTTAAAAATAAGATGAAATGATTCCCCTGGGACATATCAATGGAGTTTTTTCCCATTAAAGGTTCAGTTAGAAATAAAATCAAGCAAGAGGCTGGGATGAATGGAGGTAATCCAGAATAATGCAGTCATTTACAGAAGCCAATGATACCCCTTACCTACAGAGGCCAAGTTCATCCCAACTCAGAAAAGATCACAGAATCACAAAATCACAGCATGGCTTGGGTTAGAAGGGACCTTAAAGTCCACCCAATTCCAACCCCCTGCAAGGGGCTCCAACCAACCTGGTTTTCTCTGGGCAGCTTGTGCTGGTATTTCACTACCCACTGAGTAAAGACTTCCTTATTTTTCTATTTATAGAATCCTTAGAGTTGGACAAGACCTTTAAAGGTCATCTAGTCCAACTCCCCTGCAATGTGTAGGGACATCACAGTTAGATCAGGTTGCCCAGGTCCTGATCCATCCTTGCCCTGAAAGTCTAGGGATGGAGCATCCACCACATCTCTGGGTAGCCTGTTCCAGTGCCTCACCACCCTTACTATAAGACTTTGTCCTTTCACCCAAACAAAATACACCCAACTATTTCTTCCTAATATCTGATCTAAATCTCCCTTCTTTTAGTTCAAAACCATTCTCCTTTGTTTTAACACTATCAGTGTAAAAAGTTGATGTCTATTGATTATCGTGAAATTCACTGAATGGTTGGTTGGAAGGGACCTTTAAGATTATCCAGTTCCGACTCCACTGCTACAGGCAGAGACACCTCCCATTATAAGCTCCCAAGTACTAGAAGGCCGTAGCGTGGTCTCCCCTCATCCCCCATCTCTCACTGTGAGGTTACTGTGCTAGAGCCAGAATGAAGAAAAACCACAAATGTTCAAAGTCCACATACAGACTGATCCAATCATTTATTTCCCAACTGAGACACTTGCATAAACAAAGACCACTGAACTCAACCAGCGATAAGTTCAGCCAATGGTAAAAGAATGATCAAGTAAAAATAAAGCTCCAGAGTGATGTTAAATATTGCTCACGGATGCTGGTCTGTTGGATGATATTGGACATGTTATTTCTGTTCTGGTCCAAATATGTACTCCAACACCAATACCTACACTGACCTCTGAAAAACGGTCTTAGGAATCATAGACCTGCTTGAGTTGGAAGGGGTCCTTAAAGGCCATCTAGTTCAACTGCCCTGCAAGGAACAGGGACATACACAGCCAGATCAAGTTGCTCTGAATCTGGCTTGGCCTTGAATGCCTCCAAGGATGGGGCACTCACCACATCTCCGGGCAACCTGTTCCACTGCCTCATCACTCTTATTATTGTAAAAAGCTTCTTCCTTATATCCAATCTAAATCTTCCCTTTTCTACTTTGAAACCACCTCCCCTTGTTCTGTCACCACAGACCCTGCTAAAGAGCCTGTCCCCTTCTTTCTCACAGCCTCCCTTTAGATACTGGAAGGCTGCTCTCAGGTCTCCTTGGAGCCTTTTCTTCTCCAAGCTGAACACCCCAGCTCTCTCAGCCTGTCCTCATGGGGAGATGTTCCAACCCTCGGATCATTTATGTGACCCTCATCTCTGTTTAAGTCAAATGAAATATAAATGCTGCCCACTGAATGCTTTACAAGTGTTGTATTTCCAAACACCACTCAGCGTAGCAGAGGCCACTATGTAAGATGGCCAAGTGCTACATGGAAGACATCGGACACAATGCAAGGACCCTTCACTACTCATATACGTAAAAGCAACGGCTGGTTGGAAAGGGAAATCCACTCGCTCTGGGTTAAAAACGAGCTTGGCTTGGAAGCAGCTCCTTTCGCTCCCGACAGCAGTAACTGCACGGTACGGAAGGCTCCCGCTGCACCTCGCAGTTCAGCGGGAAACACGAGAGAAAGGCGCTATGCGATCACCGCCCCACCACAGGAAGTACCAGACCCGAGGCTGCAACGCTGCAGCCCGGCTCCCCTCAGCCGCCCTCCGCCCGTACGTTTCCCTCCGCCGTGGGAGCGCGGAAAACAACGTCATTCCTCCCACCCTCACCTTGGAGAGGGAGCGCGCGCTCATCTCGCCAGCCCCGCGCTAATGGACGGACGGACGGCGCCAAGAGGGGGGGCTGCAGCGGCCAGCGCTGACTCTCGGCGCATGCGCAGTAGGGAGGCTGCCAAGCCCCTCCTTCGCGGGAAGGAGGGCGGCCCTCGGCGGGCGGAGCGGAGGGGTCAAGGGGCGGTGCTGACCTCCCGCCTGTAGCAACGCCATGGCGGCCTGCGCCTTTCGCAGGAGCATCGCCCGCCAGGTGGGCTGCCCGCCGCTGCTGGACGGCGAGGAGACCCCGCAACGCTTCGTGGCAGCGGGGAGCGGGGTTTTTCTGGCGTCTGCGTTATGCTAACGCTTTTTGTGCTTTTATTCCGAATGTAGCTCTCTGAAGTTTTGGATTTGCCACCGGAGAACTTAATAAAGTCCATCTCTGCAGTTCCTGTCTCCAGAAAACGGTAGTGTTTGCGTTTAGTCCTGCTGCGCTGATCACTGTTGTGTTTGTTGGTGTGAGGCTTTAACGGGTCTTAAGAAGAAAGAAAGACAGAAAGCCCTAAGCTGACATACCAGCCCAATTGTAGGATGCTCAAATCCAATTAAACCACTGTTGTTGTTGTTGTTGTTTTTCAAGCAAGTTCCAAACAAATGTTTGCTTCAAAATAGGCGGTGCTTAAATGGCAAATGTTTCAATGTTAATTGATGCTAATGTTAATGACCTTGGGGTGAAGATATTGTGAGTTTTTTGCTTCATGTCATGCTTGAGAGGTGTAATGGTAATAGCAGGTAAATGGCAACTATTCATGAGCATAACCTTTGTTATTCTGAACTGGTATTCTTACTGTATTACAGTATTTTAGCACTGTATTAGTTAGAATGAAGGTAATACTGAGTCTTCAGATGTATTTTTCTGACCATGGTGTATTCCCACATCTGTGACTGGGTTATGCTTGCCAACTGGACTTGCCATAGTCTGTGTCAACTTGGATTTGTCAAATCTCCCCATCATTTCAATATATTTCTTCCCTGATTTTCTTATGTTCTTTTATTCAGGCGTAATGCTGATTTCCAGCTTTCCATTGCTTCCATAGAAGAAGGCAGTTCTAGAGATTACATGGCACAAGATCTTCAGCTTCGAGCTCAGAAGCTAGCTGAGAAGGTATGCTACCTTTATCAGGCCAGACTTCCAATCACTGGCTGCTTGAGATCGAGGTTTGCTTAGAAGTGTCTTTGTGACCATTCCAGGCCATGGGAGACGGTAGTAGCTGAGGCATTCAGAGTAACTACTGTATAACAAAGAAGCAGCAGGTGTACAAAACAAGATATCCAGAAGTGATTCAAGCCTTGAAGAAACAGAAGGGACAGGGAAGAAAATAAAAGTCTTCGAGGAGTTGGCGTGCATTAAGTTGGAAGTGGGATCAGAAAGGCGATTCTAGGGTTTTAAAAAGATCCTTCACAATCTACAAAGATGCGGCTGATGCCAGTGAAGAGGAACGTAAACTAAGCAGTAGCAAAGTTGCAAAGAGGCGCTAGCAAGAAAATAAAAGAGCAAAAAAAGATTCTTTATGTGATTTAGAAAGAAGTTTTAGAAGCAGTCAGTAGGGTTGCTATTTGATCAGGAATTAACAAGGATGAATAAAACAATTGCAATATTATTGAGATGCTGAACTGTTTCTTCATTTCGTTCTTCACTGCTGAGATGTTGAAGAGCTCCATACCTTAGAACCATTTTTTGTAATAGGTGAGTATTCTGACTGAGAGCAAGAGGTAGTGTTACTCAGACAGATGTACCACTGAAAGTTCTGAAGCAGCATTAAGATGACCTGGAATCACAGAGTTTGAAAGAGTTTCAGGAAAAGTTACCTGTAGGTTGCTGGCAGTTTTTGGATGAGGTTGCTCAGAAGTTTTGAAATCCACTCAGGTTTTATAAGCCTCCAGGAATTTGACAGCCTTTGTGGGCATTCTGTCCAAGCGACTAATATCATGGCAGCAATTCTTTTGTAAGTGTCTAGTCTGTCACTTTGAAAACAGTCTGGTTCCCAATGATTAGAGAGTTGCAAATGTGTCTCCCTCCTTATTGGTTGTGGCTCAGAAAATAAACCTTGGCCACAGAGTCTCGTGTGTAGAGACTCATGTACAGGGAGAAACCATCGTAACTACAAAAAGGTACAGGCCATCAATATAAGCCTCCAAATTGTGCACACTGTGCTGGTTAACTGAAGGAAAAAAATATCATTGATCTCTTGTTGTGTAGTGCATTTATTATCTTTTCTTTAGTCTGATCACATCATCACTCCACAAAGATGAGCAGTGTAGAAATAAACAAAATAGAACCGTTATATGCAAAACTAGCATTGGAATAGAGAAATGTATGCAGTGATGAGTTTTTGTTGTGATAAGCAGTTGATAGTGCCTCAGGGTTCAATAGTATGGTCTTAGGGAAATAGGTCACAGCATTTGAAATGTGGATATTTAGGTTAGAATAGGTGAGTCTAAAACAGTTTCTGTTGACTAACGTAGCCTAAATAATGCAATGTGATGCTAAATGGAGCATAATATGCTCTGATATGCTGAGAATTGCCTGTCAGAAAGGTCTTACGTTCATTGGCTTTTGATTTTTGTCTGGAGATTTTCTGCTTCATCTTTGAACTGTTAGTTCTTTGCTGAGGGGGAAGTTTTTTCATTATTATTATTATTTTTAATCTGTGTGCCTCTACCTACCATAAAGGCACTCTGACCCAAGTCTCAGGCATGAGGAGGTCTGGTTACTGTAGAACTATATTGTACTTGGAGGAGAGGTTCTTAAAGTATGGAGAGGCCAAGTGAGTGTTCATACTGAAGAGAGATGAAAAACACTGGAAGACTAATGACAACTTACATAGAAAACATTTAGCAGAGCAAATAGTATGGAGCAAGTGCACTGGGAATTTTTCTGTCTGCCTCTTAATGTTGGCAAAAAGGACCTTCAGTAAAATGGAAAGGTGGGAAATTCTCAGTCAATAAAAAAAATATTTATTCATGTAGCTCATAAACAGTAGAATTTGTTATTGTTGGAGCTTGTAAAAGTTAAAGAACTTAGAGCCTAACTGTGATTGCACCTCGTGTTTAAATCATGTTCTAAACACAAAAGCTATAAAATGGGTATAAATTCTTCCTTGTGCTGGTGTGCTTCAGTCAGAATTAACAGCTTGCCTGTCTCTCTTGTATGCATTAACCAAGTTGTGTGTGATTGGTTATTTTATTGTTAGTTTTTGTAGGAAGTTTCTTGGCTCTCAAACATAGCTAGTTTAGTAAGGAAGAGGCCCAAACTCTCAACCTGTAAATAAACGAAATTTGTTTGAAGAAGAGGTCGCTCACAGTCAAAATGAAACAGAAACTGGGCACGTGCAAGGACTGAGAATGAATGTGTGATGTTTCACACTGAGTTTTGCACTGAGTAGTCAGAGCTAGTAAGCATGGATTAGAAATAATCAAATCATTCTTTATCAGCAGGATTGATTCAGTCATCCATTTATGGTTGCTTTCAATCAGATAAATAACATGTTAATTTAATCCAGTGTGGATATTAAATTTTGAATGGATTGAATTAAAATTTCCCTGTCTACTTGTTTTCATGGGGAGTGACTGTTCTATCTTGTTCTTACAGCTAAAATGTGATGCTGTAGTGAGTGAAATCAGCACTGGTCCAGGAACAGTAAACTTTACAATAAACAGGGAATTGCTAGCAAAGGTGAGTACAATATTTCAGGCATGTTAAGGTAAAAATAAATTCCTGAATATGAAATACTCAGTTTTAGATATTTTCTATGTAGAACTGCTTGTTTTTCATCGATATTCTCCATGGATCCCTGATGCTGTTCCATTATGTAGGCCTAGAATTCAGAAAGAAGGTTACCGAGGTGTATCTTTTTGAGGAAACAGTGTATCTACCCTTTGTGATAACCACATTCTTTTCTTTCTTCCCTGTTTCTGCCACGTACTTTGAGTTCAAGACTTTGATCTTGCATATAAAGAATCTTGCTTAAGATAGGAAGGATGATAAAAAGATATCTGAAATAACAATATTTGACTACGGATCTACTGTTAGAACAACAACAAAAAGGAAGATGTGTTTCTTAAAGGCCAATGTCTGACTGAAACTGAAAGCTTAATTTGTTAAACCAGTAATTTAGCATGCTCAATCTATAAGAGCAGTGTTTCAATTGCACTCAGTCTGGATTATTTGCAAGAGCTTCATAAGGACAGGTGTCTGGCAGGCACTGTTAGACTGGGAAGTGAATGAAAGCGTTGTTCCGTCAGTTGAACTAACTTGGGAAGCAAGCTCCACTGTTGTTCTTCACGGTTTTAATCTAAGCAGTTCTTATGGAAGCAACACTGTGGTCTTAGGAAAATAAGCTTTCTGAGTAGGAAATCAGATCTTAGCTAATACTCATGAAATGTCCTACCAGGACTTCCACTGAATCACTTGAGCTCATAGCTGTCTTTTACTGAGTGAAAAGTCTCTTCTGGTGAATTGCTAATGCTTAGGCATTCCTATTAATCAGTTGCTTTATTTGTTACCAAAGACATCTCTTGAGATTTTCATCAGCTGTCTGTAATCCATCACAAACATAACAGCTGACAGTTTGCTGAAAGAACAGTGTTGGTGTTGAATTTTATTCCTGGGCAGGGTTTGACAAGATGCTGTCTGTAGGTGGATTCTTGTCAGTATAATGGTTCAAGCAAAACTACATGTCTGGCACAGTTGAGTTTTGTTAGAAAAAATGTGGAAGTAGAACACAAAATTTTACATTATATCACTGAGGAGATATGACTAAACTGTGGCTTTCACTAGTAAGGAAAACATATACTGTAAATTTGATGATTTGTGTGTGTATGTCTAGCTTACCTTATGTGTCATAATGACCACTGCATTAGAGGTTTCTCTTCAAGCACAGCTCACTTATTCTACTTTGATTTCTATTGCCAAACAATTTTAAGATGACCTCAGGGGTGGGTGGAAAAAAAAAACCGAAAAAAACCCAACAACTTTCCACTCAATGGAATGAGATTTCCACTTGAGTTCATATAGGGTGCATGCAGGTAATTAACTGGCTGCATGAATGCATTGCTGATAGTATAGTTAACATAGGATTCATCTTTCCACAAACTGCTTTCAAGCTGTTGAAGAACTGTTTTAAGGAATTTTAGGCAGTTTCCATACTTTCAAAGTAGACATGCTTTTGTACAGATGCTTTCTAGTGTATTTACAGGCTTGCAAGTAGGGAAAGGGGTAAGGGGATGTTTTGCCATATGGGGACTAAATAGGTGGCCTGTTTTGGAAATCGAGGAATAGAAAGCAAGATGGCTTTTGGTGCCTAGAAAAATCTAGCAGTTTTAGTAGAATGTGAGTGTATTCATTTTTTATTATTTAACCCTTGTGGACTTAAGTGATTTGTAGTTCTGAGGAGGTTTGAATTCCTGCAGGTCTCCTGTTTTTAATCTTTCTCTGTTCTGTGTGCTTATTCTCTTCCAACACAAAAAGAGAAGAATATTAAGCTGTTGTTTTTTCTAAAGAATAATAAAGAAATACAGTGAGCATTGATGGTAAATTAACTAGAAGAAAATAGGTACATTAATCTGCCTTATGTACTTCCAAAAAATGGAAGCAGCTTAAATTTATATTACTGAATTTAGAAGTAGCTATGTCTCTTCTGGTTTTGCCTCTCATGAACTGCTGGCTGAAGTTTTTCTATCTTATTGTTATTACGAATGTTCAGACCATTAGGTGCTCACTTGAGCTGTTGTTTCAGTCTACCTGCAGTGAGCTGATGAAGAGGGTTTTTCAGTAACTGTCTTGTCTCTTAGCTGGGCTTTAGAAATCATGAAGGCAGGGACTATTGGACTTCTGTCTCAGATTTCCTAAAGAGTAATAGAAGTGTGCTGTTCAGGTAACCTGCATAAGCAGGTGTTCATGCAGTTACAGCACACTGGATTTTTTTTGCAGGCCTTCAGTCACAGTTAATTTGTGAAGGATCTCCCGTGTCCCAGGGGGTTGGTAGAGCCTGTGTGATTGGGCCATGCTGTGCTCAGTGGGTATTGCCTGCATTCACATGTTGGCAAAAACTTTGACAAGACTTACAGAAATTTCACACAAATGGCCAAATTCCTTGAAGTGCGCCTTGGTAAGATTTATTCATGGGAGGGAGGGCGCTTTGAGGGATCTCAAAGGTTTGCTATGTAGCTTCTGTTACTAATTCAGGAAGGAAAAAACAAAAACCCAGCTGTTGTGAGAACGTCAGAGTACATGAAGATATACTTTCTCTTGTTAAGTCTACTGCTCAGAAGTTTTACACAGTACATTCTATTTAAAATGTGTTACGTGAATGAGGCATGGCAGGGGTCCTGCTCACAGTAAATTCAGACTCCTGTTTATGTGAGAACTCCTTTGTTTATATGAGGCCCCTGTTCTACCCACACTCTTTAACTGACTTGACTTTTCTGCCTACCAGTTACTTCTGGGTGATTCTCTTGCCCTTTCATGTTGTCCAACTAAACCAGTGATTTTAGTAAGACCTACATTTTCTACTTTTAAGTTTTCACCAAAATCAATGCAGATTTAAACCAAAATCTCTGTTTACAATTTCTCTGATGTTCTTAACTGATCAGATTCAGCTTTACAAATTTAATGGCATTTCCATCTGCTACGATATCTTGTTTGCTTGACCACCTAATTGCTAATGTGAAAAAAAGGCTGTGGGATCAGACTTCTGTGTGGTTGGCAAAGTTTTCCTGACTGAGTTTTCTGTTGTTGAAACTTATTTTCCTTCTTTTTGTCTTCCCTCTGCTTCAGGCTGTTCTGCAGCAGGTGCGGAAAGATGGCACACAATATGGAACAAAAAGTGAACTTTTCTCTACTGTGCCTAAACAAAAGGCTGTGGTTGAGTTCAGGTAAGCACACGTGATGAGTCCTTTAGGAAAACTGCCTTGTCTGACAATTGCTATTCATCGCCATAATGTATGATGCCTGTGAAATTAAAGCGTGTTTATGATATTGTATTCAGTTGTGTTTATTTCTGACACATTTGCCAAGTAGAAGAGTTCTATATTCCAGTAGAATGTGTTTTATCTAGGGAATTGAGGGTTTTTTTTTCCCTAGAATATATTTTTGGTGCTTGAAAAGGTCATTCCTCTTTCTCATTTAGAATATGGCAGCATTCAGTTTTCAAGTAGGTTTCTTCTGTTTTGTCATCAAGAAACATCATCTGAATTTTTAGCCAGCAACACCCACCCTTGGACTTCAGTTTCCTAACCTGTTACTTAGTTTTCCTTAATGTATTAATTCCTGACTCACCAGAGTAGCAAGGCATTTGTCTTGATAAATCTGAATTTCTGGCCTTGGAAATTCTGGCTGGTAAAATTGTCTTTGTGGCCATCTGCTCATGGAAATAGATGTGTCTGACTTGCATATCCTTATGCACTAAAAAAATCTCTATTCACTTAGACTTGTTTTATAGGCTTTCTTAGTCAGAAAGTGAGCACTTGCCTTGAATCTGGAACGTGAATGTTAGGGCTGCTTCCATTTTGTTTTAGAGGACAAATAGTTGTGGGCACACTGTTTCTTTTTGTTGATAAGAAACTACAACCTATAAAGAGCTAGCTTAACTATTTTGTAATATTTTCCATGTAAAGGCTTAAGAAAAAATAATAATATGCCACCATTGGAAGCTTAAATTGAACTGAAATACAAGAGAGAAGCTGACCATTGTAAAGCAGTGTTGGAAGTTTTTTCAGCATAAAGATATGCTGTTTCCCTGTGTAGAAAAAGACACTTGCTAGAAGTTATGGTTTAAGATACTGATTCTTGCATACAAATTCACCTGTTCCAGTGTCAGATTTGTTTATAATAACAGTGTGAAAAGAATGACTTGTATGCCCAAAACATGTAAAATGTGGGGAGATAGGATAAGTCCTTTGTCACTTGCACAGTTGGAATTTAGGGGGCTTTGTTGTGTTGGTTTTTACTGTTTTACTGGTTGCTAACATTTGATAGAGAGGTGTGCTGTCTGGAACAGAAGCTAATCAGAGAATTATAAGGGAAAACTGTGGGTTTGTGACAGTTTGGCTGTGCGAATGAATCGAGTTCTTTAGGCAATGTGGCAGTCTTGTACACTGAACAAACGTTATTTGTGAACATTTGTTACAGCTCCCCTAATATTGCCAAAAAGTTTCACATAGGACACTTGCGTTCCACCATCATAGGTGAGTGTGCATCTCTGTGTGTCCAAGAAGGGCTGCTTTGTCTTTGTGATTCACTTGACAGGGGATTGCTGCTAAGCTTTCACTCCTCTCGTGGACTGGCTGTGTCAGGCTCCGCTTGCTAATTAAAAGCCTTTTACTCATTATGCAGTGAGGAAGGAGCGTGGTATGTTGCTGGCAGATTTATTAAGTCACACCTAATATAGTTTTATGCCTTCGAACATTAAACGAAGTAGTTCAAAATCATTCCACAAAGACACCCAGTGCAGTTTCCACTGAGGTGTTATGAATGTCATTTGAATTTTAAATGTCTGATTTGCACTGGACTGCGGAGCAGTCACATAGTTATGGCTCAGTGGCTGTCTTGGAAAGCATTTGCCTTTATATGTTAATTACTCGATGCCGGTATTGCTAACACAATTGCTGCCATTTGTAATGGAATAATTAATCTGTTTATTGTGCAGTACTCTAACGGCATACAGAAAACATTACTTTTCTCTTTTTATTTTTTCCTCTCAATGAAATCTCTAGATTAGCAGAATACCCCACAGCATCTGTAGAGCTAACAACATATTATTTTTAATAATGTAGCGTGTATAATAATTAGCTACGTAAAATGAATATTTCTGCCTCTCCATTGGCTGGTGGCTGAGTGTTGTATTTTGGGCTCTTTGTTTCACTTCTGGACCCTTTTGTACAGAAAAAAATATTAAAAAAATTTTAAAAAGTTCTGTAGATGGATGTTTGTCCCAGAAAGAGAATGAAGTGCCTACAGGGAATGGAATGGCAAGAGACTGCCCAGCACAGCATGGTGTTTCTGTAACAGAAGACAACAAAACTTTCTGCATCCTTTTTGTATCAGCCTAGTGATTAAAAAGTACCCTTGAAGCACAGAGGAATAGAGAAAGGAATACACATATTTCTTTGTAATTTGGTAATGTAACAAAGCTCAGGAGAGAGATGAAGCATTTTTGTTGCAGTAACAATTAGAACAAAGGTGTGCTTACATGATATTCATTTTAGACCATATTAGATTCATAGTGTATGAGCTGAAGGCTCAGTACTGCTCAACAACTTAGTGTTCTCTGTGTAACTTCACAATAAACAGCAGTTTGTGAGTTTCAGTACTTGCTTAACCTCCTACTATGAGGTTACCTGGCTATGGAAGTGGAGTTGTGTGCTGCTGTGTATTTATGAATACACAAGCCCTTAAAAAGTGTTTTTCATGTCTATACAATTTGTAATATATGCAAACAACAGTGGTACAAACATACATATCTGTATGAGACATTTCATAGCATCTCTCAAATCCAAAGTCTTTTTTTTAATTTTTTTCCTTGCTTAAAAGATTATTGCTTGAAGTTTTGAAGAGTTTTAGTTGAATTTAGTAGAATTTTAGCTTCTGTGGAGCAGTCCATCTGATTGTATTCAAAAGGGAAATGGAAAGCAAGTCATACAAAACCAGAAAATCGATCTAGAAAATCGTAGAATATGTACAGTCCTGAATAATGGCACCAATTTTGATTCCTTACCAGGAAATTTTATAGCAAATCTCAAAGTTGCACTGGGACATGAAGTAACAAGAATCAATTACCTTGGTGACTGGGGCATGCAGTTCGGTATGTTTTCATGTTTGTTTCTCTTATTCCCTTGTATAACACGGTCAAGGTTTTTGGCTTCAATTTTTGCAAGCACATTGGATTCATCCTGGGCTCACAAAAAGCATTATTGTGTTCGCATGCATATGATGTCTCCTTAAAATATTAACAAAACCTAGTCTGATTCATTGTCAGTGTGACCCATTCCACTGCTTGAGAAATACAGGAGGATATTCACCCTACAGTTCCTCCTTACCTCAGTAGTTCCTCTCACACAACTCATGTGTTATTCGGGGTTTTTTTTTAAAGCACAAGGTAAATGTTTTGCGTGTGCTGATCGTACTCCTGGAGCCCCAGCAGCTGAATGGGCTGCTGTTGCTGCCTGCAGACAAAATGCATGTGCATTGCCGTGTCTGTTACATGTCTGTGATACTGCCTTCCTTACTCATATTTTGCATGTGGGAGAGTAAACTTGTTAACTTGCCTATGTACTTATGCCATTCCTGTGTACATAACAGTAGTTGTTTAAAGTATTCTTGTATTTAGTTGTCTTTGTGTGTGTGGTAGCATTGTCTTCATCTTTTGTTGTTGCTTCCTTTGGAAGCAGGCTTGTTATTCCTAGGGAATAACTGGCTTGCACAGTAGCTGCATTTTGACAGGTTAAGACCTGAAGTATTTTTATTAGTAAAGACATCCCAGTACTTCCCCCAAAATAGTCAGTTTTCTTTAAAAATGTAGCAAAAGAGAAGTGTGTGGGTGGAGAATATGGAAGTGAAAAGTGAAAAGGCCCTTGAAAGCCATCCATCTTGCGAGTGTGTGCATCTGCATGCGCACACATACACGCTCCTACATCCTGTGAAATGTCCATCAGATATAAACTGAGAAATCCTCTCATGTGCAACCCTAGTGTGTTGATAGCTGTTTCTGACTGGAGTTCATTTCTGTCTGAATACTAGATCTGTTAGTATTGCTGTCATATTGGCAGTTAATCCATGGGAATCACAGTGCTGTTGGTTTCTGTTAAATTTATCAGCATTCTCTCCTTTTCTAAGGAGGCACACATGCACTTCAGAGCTGATTTTGTCAGATTTTTAGGCATTTAAAAAAAGGCAGCCATGCCCACTTCCTTGTTCTTGAAAACTGAATTGGCCCAGGAAACCATAGAGCTGTCACACAGCTTTTGCAGTGGGGTCTGAAAACAGTGTCAATATATACAAGTTTTTCTTTGAATGGCAAACAAGAAGTGAAGCTCTTTCAGCCCTTCTGCTGCCCGTTTGGTTGAGCTGATACAATTGCTTGTGGGCATTTCAGTGAATCAACTCTGTGAATAAAACTGGGTTAAAAATCTAGCAGAAATGCTCTACTTGTACTCCATTTATGCATGCAGGTTCAGCAGTATAGGTAACATACTTAAAAGGTATTCAGTTCAACCCATTCTACCTCTAGAGTAAACCCCTGAGATCGAGACAGCTGGAATGTTCTTATGGCTGTGAGAGCAGTAATGGAACACTTTTTTCCTTTGTGAAATTATTTCCTCTACAGCTTTTCTGTCATGATTCTACTTCTGCTCTGTTTTATAGTAGGGTTTCCCTTCGCTCAGGATGTATTTCATAGGAATTGAATGCAGAAGGAGTTAACCTAAAGTTAAATAAATTTCATCATTGTAGATTTCTTTCACTTTTGCCCCTTTGACATATTTTTTTTTTTTTTTATCACCAGCTCTTGTATAAGGAATGTGGCAATGGCAATTATGCAATGAAATGTAATGTAGGTAAAGGGCTTCTCAACTGACCTTGTTCATTCTGTCTTTGAAGATACTAAATTCTACTGACATGTCTAGATATCAGTATTGTTATGTATTTTAGTGCAAACTATCTAGAAAGTATCAAGTTGATAATGTGTGTTACTTACATACATACATACATACCTGTTGCCCAGAGCACAGCAGTGAAAGTCGTACTTTGTCAAAGTGGTTTCAACTGTAGCTTTCCAAAGGGCTGCTCCCTTCTTTATTTGGGCTGGCTCAGCTGAAATACATGACAGGTTTTATATCAAACAATGTAGTCATGCTTCACAAAATTATAGCATAGGAATATTAGTATAATGGTCCTTCCCCAGAAGCAGTGCTATAATTAACAATCTGTCAGTGTTTCTATTACAACTTCTATCATCAAAGGCTTTGAAAAATAATAATTGAAAATGAATTTTGCTGAAACATGGCAAAGCAGTCCGCAACCTTCAGGCAGTTTTGGGGCAGGTTTCTTAAGGTAACCAATCTTAGGCAATCTGTCTATCCATCTTCCTGACAGGCTGCTGCTAACAAATTCTGAACACGTTGGCCAACCTGAACCAGATCTGAAGAAAATGTCTCAGAGAACAAAATTATTTCAGTTTTGTGACAGTTGACAGCCAAGTAGTGTAGAATACAATGTAGTGCCCTCAGGGAGTGACAGTTAACTTCTCTGCTTAGCCTGTCAGCTAACCAGTCAGCACATCAAAGTCAAAATCAGACCCAGCACGTGCTGCATCTTACCGGTAATTGGCACACGTAACAAGGGCTGGATGGCAGAAACCTATAGAAGGTATTTGAGCTGAACAAAAACTGGAAGTCTTGCTAGGGGGTTGGGGTATGAATCCAGCATCGAAGAGCGGAGCGTGTAGGTACTCCAATGTCCAAGAGCTCAGTAGGAAACCAACTTGTAGTTGCTCATAAAACAAGCTGTCCTTAAAGAAACTCCCTTTCAGTAGGATCTGACTCATTTTGTTTCCTAGACTCTAGCTTGTTTTTCTTATCTAAATCTGCCACAGCTCGGTGTTTCCAAGAGGGAAGTTCTTGAGATAGTGCTGTTTGTTTAGCTGCAGAGAGTTTTTCAAAGGGGCGCCTGCATGCCCATTCCTCAGCTGCTGGCTTTACATCAGTCCAGGACCTTGTTAGCTCAGGGGGCAGAGACAACTTGAAAAGCGCCCTCAGATAATCTAAGAGGCAACAGGGTTTGGTTGCTGGATTACTGAATGAGTTAATGAGCCCTTTTGACTTGGACAATAAGATTGGGATTTGAATTTCTTGCCCTTTCAGATGGCTTTCGGAAAGTGCTGAAGCCAAATCAGATATGTGAAAGCAAGCTGCACGTTCTCAGCATTCAGAAAAAAAGTTCCCTTGAAAGTATTGCATGAGTGGTATGTGAAATACCATGTTGTGTCCCAATTTCTATTGTCCTTGAAATGATAATACTGCTAAGGGAGGAAGCCAGACAAGGAGTTCTGAGCATGTTCTGTCCCTGGGCAGTTTCCTGTATGTGGCTTCTAATTTTCAGCTAGTTGCTGCATAGCATCTAATTTTGTCTACAGATCTAGAAACAAATTCTGTTTTTTGAGGAATTGAAGAAATCAACATAGTACTTCATACTAATTTCTAGCAGTTTTTTCATGCAGTGACATAACAAGCTATGCTTTCGTTTTGCTTTTAGAGCATACTCTGTTATATTGCTAAAATAGTAAGGAATTTGTTTTATTACCTACAGTGTTAAGACTTGCTTGTGAAAACGACAAAACAATGCACTCTGAGCTCTTGTCTGACTCTACATTGATTTGTTGTTCAAGGCTTACTAGGCGTGGGTTTCCAACAGTTTGGTGAGAAAGAAAAGCTGAAATCCAGTCCTTTACAGCACCTTTTTGAGGTAAGTTCAGAGAAAACCATGTAGGGACTTCAGAGAGCAATCCATTTAACTTGGCTATCAATTTTGCACAGTGATGTGTCTGCAGGGTCATCGTGGATTCACGTAACTCACATTGGGTTTGAAGTACTTTGTTGAGGGATGGGTGGCCGTGTCAGCAGAGACGTTTCATCAGCTGGAAAAACACGCCACCTATGGGGGAATAATTGAACGGATGGTTAGCTTGCATTGGCTGCTGCTGCTGCTGCCACAGACAGCTTGACTGCTGTCACTGACCACCTACCTAATTGGCACAGATGATGACCAAGCTTGGCTTTGGCAGTGCTTTGGAAATGGAAGTCTCACATCTGATGCTGTAGTACATTGTTTATCAAAGCTGTATTCAGTTACACTGAAAAGTGGCAAATATGGTATGCGAATCTTTTTGTTGCTTCTGATTTGCAATAAGTAGTATTTAATTTCCATTGTGCAGCCCGCAGTTTGCTCCAGTTTGGGGGAAAGGATCTATAAAGTGTTTTATATCTATTGTGAAGCCTTAGCATATAATATATGTAATGAGAAATGATTGTCATTTTTCAGAATAGTATTCTGGAATATTATTCCAGCTCTGCAGAATGCTTGCTTTCTTTCAAGAGTGTAGAGAGCCAGTGGTAGGTGCAGTTTCTGTTGACAAGCATTCATGAAATGTCTTTCTACAGCAGGGAAACTTATTTCACGAAGGTGCCCTTCTGGTTGCCCACTGTAGTGCAGTGCAAATGTTGCAGACAACGTTGGGGCAAAACTTAGTGGACTCTCCACAATTCCGTGATAGTTTAACAAATCTTGTTTCTTCAGAACTGTGATGGTTTTGGATGTTGGTCTGCACCATCCAGATACGTGTAAAATCTTACAAGTCAATATTTGTTTTCTCCTCTATACCAGTTTCTATGGCTCTTCTTGTTTCATACAGTGAAGTGAGGGGGGAGAGAAGGAAGAAAAAAAAAAAAAAGGTTTTTTGAATCTTTCAGTACTGAAAGTTCTGGTGACAACATGTGCTGGGTGTGACATGTATAATATGTGAGAGAGCATGAGTTATATACCTGTACAAATTAAACTCTTAAGGAATGGCCACACCCTCCTTTAAAAGAAAGATTTCAGATGCTGTTGGGGCTTTCTCCAGGTTCTTGTGTGGCTGTGTCAAAGTGTGCTCTTGTTACAAAGCTGAGCTCTGCTTTACTCTCTGAGCGGGATGTGGAAACTGTTGCCAAGCTGGTGTTTGGACAGTGTGTCACAAGGTAACTCTTTTACAGGTACCTGTTTACTGGCACAGGAACAAAACGTGTTTGAATGCCTGGATGCAGTACAATGGAATACACATTAGGCAGGTTGTTTATATAGTTGAATAGTTGCTTCTGAGGTGGCTGGCTTTTTTGACATACTGTTCACCTGTTTCCTCAAAGAGTTGTAGAATATCTCAAGTTGGAAGAGATCCACAAAGGTCATTGAGTCCAGTACCTGGATCTGTTCAGGACTGTCCAAAATTCAAACCTCTGAAGTAGGACAACTTCAGAAATGCAGAAAAACTTAATTTTGGAAACCTAGGGAACTTTGAAGTGTCAGTTTAACCTAGGTGCTTCTGAAATGAATGAGTTCTTAGCACGAGTGTGCTTTAAAGTTGGACTGATTTCAAGGCAGAAGTAGTCATATTATTTTGATTATGCATTGCTGTATATTACTCAATTTTCATTTATAATTTCAGCCTGTTCTTAGGATTTAAAATGTACCTACTTGAGTTTTACAGTAAAGCTTTAAAATTTAATCTTTAAGGCTTTATGGCCTTAAAATTACTTTTAAATTTAGTGAACAGTATTCAGTTGAGCTATAAGAAAGTCTAAAGCAGTAGTTGTTTGTGTCTACATTGTAATTTCTCAAATATTCCCTACTTTTAAGTTCCTTAGCTGGGTTTCCAGTTTAGGTTAGATTCAGAGATATGTTTCAAAGTGGCAATGTTCTGCTGTTGTGTGAAACAAGTTCGTTACAGAGAGAATGGTGAGTTGCTGGAACAGGCTGCCCAGAAGGTTGTGGATGCCTCGTCCCTGGAGATGTTCAAGGCCAGGTTGGATGGGGCCCTGGGCAGCCTGGTCTGGTATTAAATGTGGAGGTTGGCCCTGCATGTGGCAGGGGGGTTGGAGATTCATGGTCTTTGGCCAGAACCCTGGCCATTCTGTGAAACTAACCTCTCCTGTTGTTAATTAATAGGAAAAATCCATGACACAGCTTCTGTATAAATGAATGTGTGGATAAGTGTGTATTTCCAAATAGCGTACTTTCCATTTTGGCTAAGTCAGGTGCAAATATGCCTTTAACATTATTTTTGTTTTATAGCATCACAGGTAGGGAAGGGGTTAGAGTATGCACAGCTACTGTTTGGGGCAAAAGGAGCATTGTTCATGGTTAAGGTTGAATTTTCCTTCTACTTTGTTCCCTTTTTTGTGCCAGAACTAAGCAAACATTAATCTTTGAGGCTTGTCAGCAGTACTTTAAAAAATCTTGAGTCATAAAAGGAAGGGGAAAAGTTCAAGGGTTTTGCTGTGGAAGCTTGTTTTCATAGACTGAAGCCATTCAAGCAAGATATTCTTGCAGGAGTGAAGTTTGTATTATCAGGACTGCGATGATTTAGGGATGTAAGCTCTCTTACAAATACTTAACAGTTAATCAACGTTGAACTATTTGGATCTAAATAAACAGTGTAGCCACTAATTACTTCAATTATTTCCACATAGTACTTTAAATTTTAAAATCTTTTATGTGGTTTTTCAGAATGTTACATGTGGAAAGAGTTCCTTGTCAACCATTTGGCCATTAGATATAAAGGAATTTGCTTACGCACAAGGTTTTGGTGTGCCTTGGTAAGATCAGCTAATAGAACAGTTAGTAATACTTGTGGCAAACTGGCTGCATATGTGTGCCCAGTCGGGTGTAGACATTCATATGCCTGATTTCAGCCACAGGTAAAACATGTTAGTATGAATATGAAAACATGTTAGTATTGCAAGTAATCCGAGTGTAGTGAGGCACTGGCACAGGCTGCCCAAGGTTGTGGGTGCCCTGTCCTGATAGGAATGGTTGGAGGAAGCCTTGGATAGCCTGATTTAGTGGATTGGTAGCCCAGCCCATAGCAGGGGGATTGGAACTAGATGATCTCTGAGGTCCCTGCAACGTAAGCCATTCTACGGATCCTAAGTATGTGAGGTTTGGATCACAACTGGGTTTTATTTGTTTTGGGAGATCTTTTGTTTGCTGGTTGGGTTTTAGTTTTTGTGGTTTTTTGTTTGGTTAGTTTGTTTTTGTTGTGGGGTTTGGGGTTTTTTTCTTTGCTTTTGTACAACATTGGATGTATAAAATCCATCTAGGATGCTGTTTTGACTGCCATCTCATTTTTAGGCAGTGCAGTTGTTTGAAGTATCAACTTTTGCTTCTCTGAACAAGAGTCTCTGATTTAAAAGTCTGTGATGGTTTCCCTTTCGTGCAAATTATTTCTTCTGTATTCCACCATTGCACTTCTTTCAAGATTAGGAAGACGATGGTAGCAACAGCAGTAGAGAATTATGAGATTAGTCTTATTTCAAGATAAGCTGCACCCTTTCCCACTGAAGTTTAGACTACTCATTCATGCTTTAAATAGGAAATCTGTTTCTTTAATGCAGCTTTAAAATGTTTAAGATTAAAAATGTCACCTTTAAATCTATTCTGTATTATTCTTGTAGGACTTTGATTATTTTTATTTGAGGAGAGGATTATAATTCAATGTTTTCATGCCGTTTTATTTTAGGTGTATGTGCAGATTAACAAAGCAGCAGCAGATGAAAACACAAAAAAGCTGGCCAAGGATTTCTTTAGAAAGCTGGAGGAACATGATGAGCAGGCATTGTCACTTTGGAAAGAATTTAGAGACTTCAGTATTAAAGAATACACCCGAATTTATAAGGTACAAACAATCCATGCTTTTTCTGTGTTGTTGGTAAAATGGTCTCCTTCCATCTGTTTGTCCATCTAGTTGTCAGTGTACACAGCACCTTTTCATCCAAGAGATTGCAACTTAAGAAAGGAAGCTGCTATAATGTTGTGAATTCATTGTCTTTCTGGTAAACTGTAGTGTTGTGGGGAAGATGTTTCTAAATATGCCAGGTTATGCTCCCTTCTGTTTGGAAAAACCACAGTAGTTGATTTAACATCCATGTAGAATGTCACTTTAGTTGCTGGTAGCTGATACAGATTTCATTTAATGGAGTCCATATAATTGGCCTTTTGATTGGCCATATAATTCTCCCTTTTTAGAAGCCTTAAATTTGAGATAATGGTGCTGAGCAACAATGCAAATCAGTGTTAACTAAATACTGCTCAGTTTTGTTTTGTTTGTTGTCAGCAACAACCTACTCAATTTAAGCTCCCATGTTGTAAATTTACTGGGTGATAATACTGTTCTCACTTTTCTGATCTGATATTGTAATGCATGCAGAGTTGTGTATGTCAGAGGTTACATTGACTAAAATAAACTAAAGCAGCAGAGATTACAATAGTAATCAGCACGTAAGTTACCTGCATGTAGAGCTCATCTAGCAGCCATCTGTTATGTACTGTAACCTCCAGAGTGGAACCAGTTGTCCACTGTTTGATGGGAGAAGTTTGTGCTATTGACTATGAAATCACTACTATAAATTTGTGAAACAAGAGTGGAAGTACATCTCCTGTCACTGGACCCAATCTCTTGGTATTAATGGTGTATAATCTTGGCCCAGAACCAACTATCCATCTGAAAACTAGCTACTAGATTCATGCCAAATATTCTAAATTAACACCTCCCAAGGGAGGCACAGTGTTGATAATTCTAGTGGAAACCTGACCTGTTAGGGTAGGTGGAGTATTGAGCTGTGTGTGCCACTTCATCACGATGGTATTGTCATGCACTGCTGATGACAGGTCTCACACTCACCATCCCTTTTTAAACAGCTAAGTACCTAGAAGTGAGCGGTCAGCTTTTGTTGTCCCCAACCTTTTCTATTATACTAATACTTCATGCTCCATTTTGGCAGTTAGTCAGCTAATCTTTACCAGGTGTACTTTGAGCCTTTCTAGTAAATATGATTTCTGTGTGTGTAGCAAAGTCTATGAGCAGCTTCTGCTTTCTTTTCCTTCTTTTCATGTCCTTCTACAACAGGGTTGGTATCAAGGCTGGGTAACTTCTTTTCAGTCCACTGGTTTCACCTCCAGCATGGTAAATAATGGCATACCTCAGAATTTCCGTGCCCATCACTCTTTCCAGTTTACTCCGAACATCTCGTGAACATTATATCCAAATTTGTATTTAGCTCCAAGAGATTAATTCTAATGCATAAATCAAATCAAAATCTAAGTATCTTTTAACACTGATGTGACATTTTTTTTGGAATAAAATCTGTCTTAGTTCTCTGTCTGACCTGTGGCACAGACGTATCATTGGACTTAATTAGAAGAAATTATCTCAGTCTAACACTGTGTTTCTCTTCTTTCATCTTCTTGGAACCCTTCAGCGTCTAGGAGTGCACTTTGATGAGTATTCTGGAGAATCATTTTATCAAGAGAAATCCCGTGAAGTTCTAAAGATGTTGGAAGATAAAGGGCTCCTTCAGAAAACAGCGTATGACCTGGTTATTCAGCCTATTGATGTGCTTTTTTTCTTTTTTAATATTTCAGTTATATTTCACATAACATGACTGCCATGTGTATATAACCTGAAGAAAATTGTTTCTTTACATGTTTCCAGTAGCTATTCTAGTAGAAAACAACAGAATTTACGCAATCGTAGCAAAAATTGTTTGCCTTTTCTCGTGACGCAGAAGGCTGGCCATAACAAATTAGGTGCAGTGACAGTGGTCAACTCTTAATGGGCTTTTAGGCTGTTGATTAGTTTGGTAACCACATGTGCCAATTAATGTGCAGAGTCAGGTAATATCCTTGCCTTAATGCACTGCCTGACTGAAATGGGAGGGAAATTATATTCACAGAATGCACCAGAATATGGCAAGGTGTTTTTTTTTTTTTTGACTTCAGCAGTAGTAACAACAAACTTAGAGCAATGGTTGTTGATAAGACTTCAAGGAAGCAATCATTCAAGTAATGGGAACTGTGACAAGAGGCCTCTCTCTATCTTACTCAAGGTTACTTGTATTTTGAACTGGGATTGCAGTTCTTCAGCCTTCTTTCTCAAATTGCAGAAAAGGGACCGGAGTTGTGGATCTTTCAGAAAAGAAAGACCTCTCATCACTTTCCACAGTCAGTCGTAGTGATGGGACATCTCTTTATATAACAAGGCAAGTTATCTGTTTGTGTTTATAAGGATTGTTTGGCCAGCAAGACTTTGTATACATACATTTGTAACTGATGGTGCAGATTTTGCAGCTTTTTATTTCTGGGGTGGAACACTTTGACTGATGGGTAATTGTAACTGGAATTAGCAATACAAGTATGATGGGATGAATATAACTATGATGTGGCCCAGTGGAGGGCCCCAAAGATGGTGAGGGGCCTGGAACATCTCTCCTATGAAGAAAGGCTGAGTGAACTGGGTCTGTTCAGCCTTGAGAAAAGAAGACTGAGAGGGGACCTTACAGTGTGATATAGAAGAAAATGGTTCAATGGTGGTTCATTTACTCAGTGAGCCACCAGCATTATACCATCAGTTTCATCACTGTTTTTCTCCTTTCTTTCTCCAAATTCCTTGTGGATATTTTGATATGCAAGACTTGATAACTCCCAATACCTATAGGCAGTTAACTCCTTTGGGTGCCTCACTTTTGGAGACATGCACATACCTGACTCCAAGAGCACTTCACCTACATGATGAGTAATTCAACTTGATATTCGTTATCAATCACATGTGGACATACAGGCATTTACTCCAGTCTCTTCAGTTGCTGGCATCGTAGTGACCAGAATGACCTGAAGTCCTCAGTTTCAGTGACTGACACTTAGGCTTCCAAACACGTACATACACACAGGAGAGAGAGCCCCCTCTCCCAGGTAAGTTAGAAATTGAGTTTCATGAGAAGGGGACAGACAGTACCAAGTAGGTACAGGGTGTGGTCTACTGGCCAGCAGTGTTTATGAGCAACCTGCCTCTTCTTTCTGCCTTTGATTCCTCCCCTGAACATCTCATAAATCTTGTGTAAGTACAAGATGCTGTTCTTCCTGTCTTGTGTCTCATGTCCTCTCAGCATTAGAACCTGGGACCTAATACTGAGCACTGGCTTACTTTTCCAGAATAGGGTTGTTCCTTTCGTGTCTCCCAGCAGAGACACTTCTCCTGTAGGCAGAAACCAGTTTTATTCTGCCCACAAAACTGTCTTCTCTGTGATTTTCTTAGCTAGTGGTTTAAAAGATAATTTTATTTTTACTCTATTTTGTGTAAGGTATGCACACACTCTGATATGGCATTCCTCCTCACCTCGACAAGAGTAGATAATTTTCTTAAATGGCAAAAAATGAGATGTGTTTAATTTTAGTGGAATTCCCGATAGTTTCTCACTCTCTCTTTCAGAGACCTCGCTGCTGCCATAGATCGAATGAATAAGTATAACTGGGATACTATGATTTATGTGGTAAGTAATTCTAGATTCAGTGAATACTTTGAGCCTGACTTCAGCAATCTGGGGCCTCTTGCTCCCAGATCCGACTGGCACTGAGTGTTTTTGGCAGTGACAGAAGCAGGCTTCAGTGCCCAGAGGCTGTGCTGTAGTGTGGCAGTAGTTCTTGGTTCTGTTTCAGTTCACAACCCACAGAATGGCTGAAAAATCAGTTCTGGGGCTGTTCTTTGTTTGAAAAATTAATTGCAATCTGTTTTAAAGCAAGTTTTTCCTCAGTTGACATTGAATTTTCTATATAAATGTTGTAATTAATATTTTTAAAGCTGTTAGTGTTATAAGGGATGGTAATATGATAAATGAGTGTTCTGAAATCTAGATTTACTCCAAGTCCTCATATATTATCTGTGATACAAATTTTTATAGCTTTGACCAGTGCCTTCATTTTTTTTTAATGTTAGAAATTTCTCATGAAGTACTGTTTAATCAGCCTGGACCATGCAGTTGTGCATGGAGATTGGTTTTATATTTCTGCACTTGATTGTTTTGCTTTTTAACAATTCCAGCTGTACTGGTTAATGAATAGCAGGATTTTCTTCTCAATTATGTGAAGCTTTTTCTGCTTTAGAACCACTAAGGATGTAGCACACGATGCTTTTCTGAAAATCATGCTCTGTTATTTGAAGTCAATTAATGACCTGTGGAAAGAATCTGCAGGTTTCTGGCACATAGAAGTGCCTGTGTATCTTCTATGGCACAGCTTTTTCAAAAGCCAGTCCAACACAGATACCACGATCCAAAGGAGAGGTCAGTAAGCACAACGTTAAATACCCAGGTAGTGCAACTTTCAGGTGAGTTGCATTCCTCCTTTTATTTTCAGCCTTCAGGAAGTTTCTACTGAATTGAGATTCCAACGTGTGATGATAGAACATGTGATCCTAGTTGTCTATTTTATGTTGGTTGGTTGGTTTATTGGAGGTGGTGGTGGGTTTACTGCTTGTATCTGGCCAGTACATTCTAGATCGCTGACGTCAGAGAGCAGCATGGCCATGAAAGTGCAGTGCATTAGGAGTTAGGGAAGCTTCCAGCTAGTTCATGTGGCAGGTAATTATCTCTATATGTACTCAGTAGCATACGTGCCAAGGGAGAAGGAACTTAGTGAAGGAAGAAAATTAGTGGGTATCTTGCACAAATCAGGATGTGGGCTGAATGTTAAGCTAATGGTGTGAGCTAATGTGCACGCACCATTAGATTAACATGTATGGAAACAGCAGTCTTAAAACTTCCTGGTTCCTCGTAGCTCAATCCTAGTAACTGAGTTGTTATTTCCCTAAGATCAGCTTGTTTCTAAGTTTAATGCTGTAAATCAGTGCATTTGCTGATTTATGTTAAAAGAATCCTACTTAGCTCATATAAACGTGGTGATATGAACATAATGTCCAAAACATTCTAAAAAAAAACGTGACACTTGCTAAGAAGTGGTGATTTCAGCTGAATGTTGCACTCAAATCAGGAGATGAAAACCCTTTTATATGTGAAATATAATCCCCACTGTCTGCAAGCTTTGCCCCGTGTTGTAAGGGACTTGCTGTTGTACATGGAAAACAAAACTTGTTTCTGTCAGAGAATGTAAAATTTCTCATAAAACAGGAGAATAATCAATTTCAGACGAGGCCGGAGCAGAGGAAACAGCAGGGCAACATTGACCAGTGCAATGAACTGTCCTGAATCTAAACTTTGTGAAGTTTGTTGTGAGGTATTTTAGATCTTTAGGCTTTGTTACAGGTACAGAGAGCTATTCCGAATGTAGGATGAATGGAAGAGCTTGAAAGGATGTGTGTGAAATGCTGACCACCGCTGTCCATTCATTAGCCTTGCCTGTGAATCTGCAGAGGGGAGAGGGGATGCACAGGAGTCCAGCAGGTTATGAGGAGCTGTGAAAGAGGAGGCTTTATGCAGTGGTAGAGTTAAGAAAAAACGCATATAAGCGCTTTGCTGCTCACTCCCTGTCTTGGAATACCATACGAATAAAGAAGCTACTGGTTGCTAGTTATTTGATTAACACAGCAGTATATTCAGCCTTATTTTTTAGGGAGGGAGACTCCTAGCGACATAATCAAATCAGCTGATGGGAAAAATGAGTGTTGTAGCAACAGTTGTGGTTGAAGTACCTGTGAAGGTAATTGTTAGGTGGAAGAAAAACTTCAGCAGAGACAACCTTGAGTCATAGGAGAGAGGAACTGGAGGAGAGCACAGATGCACCATTAACATTGAAAATAGAACAATTTATGCTCTTTTTATTTATTTCTTAAATATATACCCAACTTATGTTGTAAAGCTCCAGGAGGTGCTCTGGGAGCAGAGCACCTTGGCTTTTGGCTTTCACAAGGAGCCATGTTAGTCTACATAGGTGTAGCATTGACACACATGCTATCATGTTGGCTGTATCACTGACAGAATCAAAGAAGTGTTCTCTTTCTTAGCCAAAGGAGCCTCAAAGTTTGGTGATGTAAAACATGGGAACATCTCAAGAGCAGCGAGGCTCTCAGCTGCATTCTGAAGGCATTTTGCCTGATGGGCAGCTAACGTGAAACCAAGGAACATCGAGGTTTCATTTCAGTTCGTGGTTTTCCATGGCATAGTGACATAAGAATAATCTTTTTTTTTTTTTTTTTTTAATTCTCTTTTCTTTTTTTGTAACAATGCAAGATCTTGTTGTCATATATTTCAGCTGTTACATTTTTCACTTCTAATCTGTCTTCCCAGGTTTAATACTGCTTGCAGTGACTTACTGGCACAGCATCTGGGGTGCTATTTGTTTGCATTAAAAGCTTATCCCACCTGAAGCGTTTTCTAATGTGCATCAATTCTATTCCTTAGACAGACAGGAACCAAAGTAGTCACTTTCAACACTTGTTCCAAATACTGAAGCTCATGGGTTATGACTGGGTAGAAAGGTATGTATTCATGAATTTTAGTTATGTTTTTTTTTTTAAGGGGGAGGGAGTGGAAGAATGAGTATATGTACCACCAGGTATTTAGGATGGAAAACGCAGTAGCTTTGGCAGCCACTGAGTGGGTTTTCTTGATATAAAAATGAGAGAAAGGGGAACAGTCATTCAGAGACACTGGCACAGCTTCTGGGATGTTGTGTGATCACATATTAAATGATTATTTCTCGAACTGTGATATTTTAGGAGGTGTCTGAATCATGCTTCAGGCTTGCAATATCTGTTGCAGGGAAATATATCCCCACCATTATTCATTTTCATTACCAGCCTTGTTAGCAATCTGAGCAAAGGTCAATAACGGATCTGCAGACTAAATCATATTCCTCTCTGACAGACTGCATGTCTTTTGTAGTTAAATATAGGATTTTATCTTTCAGAAATATTAGTCTGCCTTCTCTCACAGCCCTTAGAGTTGTACTAAAATTACCTCAGGATATGGATCCAGAGTAATGCTTGGGATTATTTTGAGCAGAAGCAGTGAATGTTTTATTATTAGCAATGATTAATTATGCTTTTAGTTTAACGTGACCACACCAGAATTACGATGACTCCCTTTCTAATCTTATTAACAGACTTGTGTTGCCACAGTAATGTGATCTATCCACATCCTGCCTCTCCTCAATTTATTGCACTGAGCCCTCTGTACTAAAGCTAGTAGCGAGAGAGGTTCCCAGGAGCACACATACGAGCAGGTTATCACAGTTCTCCTCATAGTTTCTCATTAAATAAGGCATACAGAGTTTTCATTGCCAAAAGGAGAGTTAGTGATGATGTCACCAAGCTTCCCACATTGGAGCGCTATTTATTCAGCTGTTACTGCTGCTCCCCTAGCTCTAAACAAACACAGCAAACATATCTGTTGATTAAAATGTAATTTTAGGTCCTGGTGCTTTTCAATGCAGGTGCCAGCACGTGTCCTTTGGGCTAGTCCAAGGGATGAAGACTCGGAAAGGAGAAGTTGTTTTCCTGGAAGATGTTTTAGATGAAGTTCGATCGAGGATGTTAGAAAACATGGCTTCTGCAAAAAGTTAGCTACTTCAGGTCCTATTCATTTCTTTTGATGCTCTGTGTTGATTTGAAACCTGTCGTCTCTTCTGTCTTTTACTTTCCCCTGAATCAGAATAATCATAGAATGGCCTGGGTTGAAAAGGACCGCAGTGATCATTGAGTTTCAACCCCCCTGCTATAGGCAGGGTCACCAACTACCAGACCAGGCTGCCTAGAGCCACATTCAGCCTGGCCTTGAATGCCTGCAGGAGTGGGGCATCCACAACCTCCTTGGGCAACCTGTTGCAGTGCATCACCACCCTCTGTGTGAAAAAAATTCCTAGTAATATGCTCTGATCTCTGTGCTTTTCCTACCTACTGTAATTCAAACAGTGTTAAAATAATTATTTGCAACTTTGTGAGTCTCCATCAGTTACAGATTTGTGAATTTTAACATTTGTTGAAATTATTTCTTCACAGTCTTGCACTGAGAAAGAAATACTTGCCACTGGGGAACAACTGTTGTGGGTTTTTTTTCTGGATGGACAGATAAGTCAATAGCGGAGTTGGAACTGGAGTTCAGGGGACAATATAGATTTGACCCAAATGATTTGTAGCTCTGACAGTCTCCTCAGGCACAATTGATTCCACCTTGTCCACAGTTGCTGCTTGCTATCCTCCCAGCCTCGTGTCTGTTTCCAAAGTCCCCAGGAGGTCGTTGGTCTGTAGCAGTCTGCTGAAGGGGACATTTTCCTTTGCTGGCTGTGACTCCAGAGCTCTTTCATTTTGAAGCAGTAGCGATTCAAGCAGTTCCTGGGGAAATGCCGCCCTCCTCTTGTGCCTTCTGGAGTTGCATGCTAAATTTAATCGATCAGCTTGAGCGTGCATCTTCCTTGCTCTGCCTTTTCAGCTTTTGTAATCCAGATAATTTTGCCTGAAAGGCAGACAAGGAGAAGGGAGGCAGGCAAAATGATAGATAGTCACCGTCCTATTGTTCAAAGCAGTTTTCCTGCGGAGAGCAATGGAACTTAAAGCTTCAGTTTAAAGGTCAGTATTATCTTTGAGTGGAAAGCCAGCTTATTTTTGTGTGGGACTGAACTGAAACGACAGAGGTCCAGGCCCCCTGTTCCATTACACAAGCAGTAAGAGGAGCGGCTGAAGGCAGTGGTGTGTTCAGGTGGCACTGTAGCATTTCTCAGAGTTTATCTGTTAGATCCTAAATCCTACTTCTCCCTCACATCCGAATTCCTGCCCTGCTTTTCCTTTGCTGAATTAGATATCATAAATCCCTGACTCTTAGGAATGTTTTCAGTGTTGTAAAAGTGTCTGGATACATACTAGAAGGCACTGCAAATTAGTTTGTGTATCAAGGTGCCTGACTGTCACTGAAAGATTGCGAGAGCTGGGCATCTAACAGCCAATGCTAGCTTTAAAAACAATATTCCTGTATGGAATTAGAGCTGGTTAGTTAAGTACTTCTGTGAAGACTTCCTTTGCTATTAGCTGCACATAGGTCTTCTGCTATTTAAGTTTCCATTATCAGCAGCATTCTCCTTTCTACTCGTCTCAAAAAGTAAATAAACCTTTGTGAAAGATGTTTGGGTTAAGAAGCATTTAAACAGACTGAACCGTGCAGTCTGCTCTAGCTGACCCTGCTTGAGCAGGGAGGTTGGACTAGACAGTCTCAGGAGGTCCCTCTTAATCTAAGTGATTCTGTGATTGCATCTGCGGTCAATCCTGTGGCTTAAAAGGGAAATCTGAGCACTGAGCTCAGCTTCTCTGAGTATAGTTAGTTTAGTGAATGGCACAAATCTCCCTAAACGTGCATCTGAGTGCTCCGTTAGCTATTAGAGTCATTCCTTTGATTGTTTAAGCTTCCCTTGGAGTCTTTAAACAAAACCTTGAACTCCTTTGTCATTCTCTTTGTGATCTTAGAGGCTGTCTGAATTACCAAAGAGGAATTCTGTGTAGTCTAGGCTTGTGTAATGAACCTTTCTGACCTTAAAATCTGTATTAAACATATTAGGAGAAGTGGGGGGAAAATGCATGTCTGGAACAGATCTTAATTTGAAGGAAGGTTTCTGTGTTGGCCTTTTTGCTGTACACATCCTGACAGTTTCAATTTTTGCTAGTTCACAGTATTGAAAGATCTCGTATTTTATTGGCATTTTCAAACCCAAGCAAGGGAGTTCTTTTACTATTATGGACTTGCATCTTCTTTTTCTCTGTTCCTTTTCAGCAACCAAAGAGGTAGAAGACCCTATGGAGACAGCAGAGAAGGTTGGTCTTGCAGCGCTAATAATTCAGGTGAGTCTGAGCTACCTCCAGACATGTTTGCATCTTCTGTGCAAGATCCCAGATTGTGATGGAGAGCTGTATTTAGGTAACATTAAGTTACTGTTCCAGGACTTCCGAGGCCTCCTCTCATCTGATTATCAGTTCAGCTGGGATCGAGCTCTTCAAAGTCGTGGAGATACAGGCGTGTTCTTGCAGTACACCCATGCCAGACTCCACAGGTAAGAGGAACCTGTGTGCAGAAGTACGATCTGACACTAATTTTAACCTCGCTTCTTTGTTAATAGTAGCATTAGATAATGGTGTTGAGTCCTTCCCTAAATAGGGCACGAGTTCACTCTTTCAGCAGAGGTTGAGTTAAAGATAGGAATCATCAAGCCAGGCTTTCCCAGAAGAACAAGCCAGTTAAAGTTATACTTCCTTCTCATTTCTACAGAGCTGAGCTAAACTGTCTGTTCTAGCTACAGTGTCTCTGTAGTTGGTTTCAGTGATGAAGAATGGTGGTGAGAGAATGAAGGGAACTGGGGCAAATTACCTGTACTTGTGAAGTATACCAAGTTACAGAACTTCAGTCTATTTGGGGGCCACCACTACAGCTGGTGCTTCTGGCATTCTGGTATATTTCCCATTGTTGGTAATTGAGTTTAAAAGTAGCCCCCCTCCTTCCTGACTCAGAGCAAACATCCAACGTGTTTTTAATTATTTTCTTTTTAAGAATTTCAGAGGAGTCCAGTTTGAGTGTTTCCATCAATTACAGTATTCCTTCAGAGTATTTTTAATGCAGACATGGATATGTCTTCATAAGAGCGTGTAAGATATCTGCCTGGATTAGACCAAAGTTCCATACAGCCTGGTATTCCTTCTGAGGCAATGGTAGCCAGAAGTGGTATTTAGGGAGCCCAATTCCTTTCTCTAGTCTCTTCCTCCTGTACTCCCTTATCACCCATTCTTGTAATAGAAGTGGTGACTGCCTTCCTAGTACTTTTAGCATCAGATCATCAACCTGCTCTCCATCTATGTCACTGATCCCTTTTAAAACTGTTTTATACTGAACATCTAGCACAAACTTTACATTATTTTTTTTTATCTTGAAGTTATCAAGGCTTTCTTAATGTTTTATTCTTGAGCAAAATATACCTACCTTTCTTCTCCAAAATATGAATTACTGTTTTTCTTGTTTGCTTTTTGCTAACAAGGAATTTTTATCTAACATTTGGTTTTGATTCTTGTATTTTAGTTTAGAACGGATGCATGGGAATGAGCCAGTAACTGATGTTAATGTGGCATGCTTGCAAGAGCCAGATGCAATCTCTCTTCTTCAGCATCTTCTCAGGTTTGTCCAGATTTCTTTCTAAATACCATTTCCTTTAAAATAAACTTTTGGATTCGTCTCCAGTCTGTTGAGCACACACAGCTGCTTTTCCCTTATGATTGTGCAATTTTGGGGAATGGCTTCTCTGTGAAATCATGATTGCAACAGTAGGCCTCTAGGTGAGACCAGTGGTGTCTTACTTATCCACTGCAATTGTATTTTTCAGAAAACTCATGGGTATTTCTTTGGGTTTTATCAGATTCATGCATGGCTGTCCATCATGTGTAACAGCTGACATGGTGCTCTTGTTGACATGAGCAACCAGCCCTCATCAGAGCTTGCTCTGCAGTTCCCCCTCAACGTAAAGGAAGAAGATCTCAGGGAAGTGGCATGGGCATGATGGGGGGTGGGCTTGATAGCTAAGCACAGATCAAGAAGTCTGCTGTCTGCTCTGAAATCTGTTCACCCTCAGAGGCGTGGATAACTTCATACAGGTTGTGAGAAGGAGAATGTACACAAGTAGACTTGAAATAAAATGGTGGATCTGTATCAGTCTGCCTGTATTTTCCAGTTGAATACTGTCTTACATAAGTTTATTTTCTTCCAGGATTATGTAAACCCAATTTGTTTTTGTCTTTTCTAATGCTACGAAATTCCCTGTAGCTACTTAAAATTCTAAGTTGCATTTATTAAAGGCAGCATCTAAGGGACTATTTTGACTGCCTTGGTTATTTAATACATGTTTTTTGCTGCTAGGAACTTGCAATTACCATTGAAATGTAAAACCAGACATAATGTTCCAGGGGAAAATATAGCTTTTGTGTTCTCTTTGCTATTAGCGTTTCTTTCCGAGCTCTGCAATCTGCAGTGTTTGTTTGCGTGATGAGCAGAAGCAATCTCTCTCCAACAAGAAGTAACTGAGGAAGAAATGAACAATTGTGTGCTAATTACGTAGCTTACGCCTGTTTCAGAAGACTATTCCTGTTAATTCTGTTTGTTCTGATTTAAGCATGTCTGATAAGCCTTATATCCCAGTAAGCTTTCCTACCACTTTAAGGCCAAGCACTTATTTTCTTTTTCTGCAGGTATGATGAGGTCCTATACAGATCCTCTCAGGATCTGCAACCAAAGCACATAGTCAGCTACCTCCTCACACTTAGGTAAGGCAATTGCTGATACCAGCATCCTTCTTTAGTAAGGATAAGGGGTGCCTGCTTCCCCTAGCTGGCTTGCAGCTCTCACATCCATATTGCATTGAAAAGAAAAATAGAGGAAAGATGTAAATTTGTGGGACAGTCTCTCTGGAGCTGAAAAGATACGAAGAAGGATAACAAATTACATCGCAAGTAGTGGAGATGAAGAGTGCAGATAGCTAGAAAGGAATCAGGAGTCTCTTGAAAAACTGCTTCCAAGGACAAAGAATCATTTGACTCTAACCTAGTGCCAGGAACCAAAATCATGCCAGACTGACTGTATCCTTAAGAGGAGATTTGAGCTGGTAATACTCATAAATCTCAAAACTTTAGCTATGAGACTTTTGTCCAAAAAACTTTAAACCAGTGATCTCAGATGATGCACTGAGTTGGACAAAGCACAAGTGATGGCTGTAAGTCACACTGGGGATGCAGACTCCATGGGGGGTTCCCCACGGGGACCTGTGTGACTGAACAGGACGTAGAGCACCAACATAGAATTGCTGGAGAAAGTTGTAGAGTCTGTGCATGGGGGAGATCTACATAAGTTAAAAACAATGTATGAAGAGATGCATAATGTTTTTACTCTCCTGTAATCTGCTTGGTAGTGTATGACATACATACTAACTATTTTAAGGCTACTTGGTGTTGCATTCTGTGTTGTTGCTTTTTTACTTGGTAGACATATTTCTATCTAAATAAGTTTGGAATTACTGTCTTAACTTTTATAGAATGGCTCAAGTTAAACTAGGAAAATGTTTGATATATCTTGTTCAGATACAATACTGTAAATTAACCATGCAATCAAATGAGTCTCAGAGAATAGACTTGTATTGGCAAAAGAGAACAGCTAGGTGAAAGGACAGAATAAAAACGTACTGATGTGGAACGTTCTGCCCTCGTGGGGTCCCATCTGGAATCTGCATCCAGGTCTTGGATGTCAGGGGGAAGTCTTTTACAGAGAGAATGGTGAGGTGCTGGAACAGGCTGCCCAGAGAGGTTGTGGATGCCCCATCCCTGGAGGTGTTCAAGGCCAGGTTGGATGGGGCCCTGGGCAGCCTGGTCTGGTATTGAATGTGGAGGTTGGTGGCCCTGCGTATGGCAGGGGGTTGGAGATTCATGATCCTTGGGGTCCCTTCCAACTTTGGCTATTCTGTGATTCTGAGGCTCCTAGCTCAGGAAGGATATGGAGAATTTGGAACAGGACTGGAGGAGGGCCACAAAGCACCTCTTCTATGAAGACAGGCTGACTGATACAGGTTTGTTCAGCCTGGAGAGGAGAAGGTTCAGGTGAGACCTGATAGTGGTCTTCCAGTACTTAATGGAAACTTGTAAGTACGAGGGAAACTTACTTTTTACAGGGATAGATATTGATGGGACAAGGGGGAATTATTTTAAACTAAAAGAGGGGAGACTTAGATTACATGTTAGGGGGATCTTTTCCAATGGGTGAAGTGTTGGCACAAGCTGCCCAGAAAAGCTGTGGATGCTCTGTCCCCGGAGGTGTTCACGAGCAGCTTGAATGGGGCCCTGGGCAGCCTGATCTACTGGTTGGCAACCTTGCCCAGTGGTGGAACCAGATCTTTGAGGTCCCTTCCAACCCAAGCCATTCTACAATTCTATGAAATGTGAATAATGTACCTTAGCATTGACAAGGCTTTCCAGACATGTTCTGTTGGGGGTGGGGAACAAAATTTTTACAGGCACCGAGTTGTTTATGGTGTACCCTGACAATGTGGTGCCATGACAACATGCAGGCTCCAGAAAACCATGGCCTCCCTCAGCAGGGTTGAAACAGGCTGTCAGAAGGAAGGCTGTAGTACACTGCACTTATGGCTTTCCTAGTTCTGCTGTTTTCTGTAGCCTGCAGCACTGCTCTTATAGAAAGATGTCCTCCTTTTCACCTTGCTTTCCATTTCAGCCATCTTGCAGCTGTGGCACATCAAACTCTTCCTGTGAAAGGCAGCACACCTGCACTAGCCCAGGTATGGCTCAGCATTGGCACATAGCAGGAGGGCAGCCCAGAAATGATTCCCTAGGACTTTGCTCTACTGTGTAACCAGTTGGCACAGCATGTACCTCCAGACTGCCCTGCAGGGTGACACCACTCTGGGATGGCCGAAGTTGCTGTTTGTGGCTGTACCTTGCAGAAGGGGCTGCTTCAAAACAGAGCAGTCCATAAAGAACACTGCTCCAAACCAAAACAACTCCCCTTCCTTCTCATCGCTTCTCATTCTGAACTTTTGAAGTAAATGTTTAAATATTTAACTTGTTAATTTCTGACAGTTTCCGTTAGTACATCCGTGGGAAGAGAATAAAGAGCTAATGCAACTTTTCTCCTCCCTCTTGCCACCTCCATATCCCAAGTTGTCTATGTTGCCATTCTAGCCAAAGCAGCGAGGCTGACAACTCCTGATGTACAGTTCCAAATCGATGCAAATTATTTTCTACTAACATCCCAGGCAGTGTTGACCGCTGAAGTACTCCATGAATGCTATAACTACACTGCCTTATTTTATCTATTTCAAAAGCTGTTACCTATCTGATTTCGGTAGGAAATCGCATTCAAGTGCAGAGGTGTGGTGGGGGAGAACATTACTGCTGGCTTTGTGAAGCCCTCCGTAGCTCAGCTTTGTTGCTGGAGGTGTTCCTGCCTTCGAAGATGGTCCTGTGCATTCTTGTAGAACACTAAGATGGTTCAAACTGCAAGGAACACTTCAGATCCTCGTCTTGGGAGAAGTCCTTCTCAATATCCTAGTGTGCTACCTTTTGAGAGCTTTTCTTCTTTTTTTAGCAAAGTTTTGGAGCAAACCCTTCCCAAATATCCAGTCATGGAACAGCTAATAAACACTGACAGGGCAATGAAATTTTCAGAGCAGCCTCAAGCTGACAGCCTCTAATCCACGTGAAATAAGAGGAGCACTATCAGCAGCGTCCTCTGTCTGTAACAGCCTGTGCTGTCATGTTGCATGAAAGTTTTGCACTTTACAGTAATCATTAGTTGTTCTGTGGTCTCTCTGCCATTAGGAGGTTATGTTTCTTTTGTTGTGGTCCTTGTTTACAACTGGCATGATTAGGTTGGGCTGGACACTGCTGACAGAAAGTGTCCCTTTGACGCTATCAGCAGCTGGTGTGAATTCTGCCAGTGCTGGTGTTACTTAGTGCTCAGATGGTGTGCATTCTTACCTTTAAAAGGCTGCTGCTGCCTGCTGTGTCCTGTTCTGCAGCAAACACAAGCTAACTGTTTGCTCTTGTTTTGCAGGCAAGGCTCTGTCTCTTTCAAGCCACACGCTCCGTTCTAGCCAACGGAATGAAGCTTCTTGGCATTACACCTGTAACTCGAATGTAATGAGGCTGTATGCTGTATGTGACTTCATAAAGGTTATTTTTCAAGAGAATACTTTCCTGTGAGTCACTGCTAATGGTCTTGGGTGTCTGTACTGCAGAAGAGCACATACACTACAACCGTTTGAGGGAGGCAGTGGTTGTCATAATTACTTTTTCCTATACAGTAGTAGTGCATTTAAGACACTAGGGTGGGGTAGTTCCCATAAAAGACACTGTTCTGTATTTACCTTTGTACATATAATGCATCCTTTTAGTAGAGGAAGTAGTATTACACTGTACTGCCCTAAGCAATGGAAGTTCTCCCCTTCTGCAGTTGTTGCCATTGTGTGCGTAAGCCTCATGGTAGGAGGGATGCAGCTGCACCAGGGATTGTAACAGACCCAATTAATCAGACATTTTCATGTTGTATTGCATTCCCCCTTCACCAGCTCTGTCCAGTCCTGTTCCTCTGTTACACTCACCTAATGACTGAGGTGGAGATGGGTTTGCTATGCAGCTGGTGGAGAGGAAATCAGTGCTCTCTCTTCACAATCAGAGGGGGTAAATACTGCTTGGCAATGCCAGAGCACAGTGTGGCTGCAGGGAGCTGGAACATCCCACCAAAATCAGTGCAGCTGGCTGCTCCAGCCTCTGAAATGCCATGCAGCACCCACTGCCACCAAAGGGGCTGACATACCTGAGTGGTACTTTGGTGATGTGCTCTATCCCAAATGCACAGAACAGTCAGCAGAAGGCAGAGAGGAACACTGGAACCTCTCTCATTGGAACAGAATTTAAGTATCGTGGTTATTGCTGTGTTGAATGTGCCCCACATTGAAGTAAATCTCAGCCAGTTAGCTTAGGGCTGAAGGAATTTAAACAAGATATAAATCTGATCAGATTTTTGCCTTCACTTTCAATTTCAACAAGTTTTCCCTAAACACAGCTAACATTTTCAGGAAGGGTTGAGCAGAGTGAGGCATCAGGGAGGGTTGGAATGATACAGCTGGCGCTCTCAAATTCAAGTCAAAGCATAACATGCACTACAGGAACTGTTTTCAAGCACCACTTTGTTATGCAAAAAGAGTTTGGAGAAAAAGTGCACAGATCATCTTCCAGTCTGACACCTCATACTCAAATGCATAAAAGAAAAAAGCATTACAAATCATCCTAAGAACACGAGTGAAGTACTTTGTTCATATGATACATATTACCTAGAAGAGAAACCTCTCCTGTGACTAATCACAGCTGCCAAATGGTTTAAGAAAAAATGCTGGCAGTAATTGCTCTTTTTAAAAGGTTTTTTTTTTTTTGAAGCTTTATGGCATTTTTTTCCCCTCCCAGGGTAAAGAAAGTTCATCAAATACAGCATAAGAACCAGTTTTCCTCCATTATATACATTATATACAGTTGAGCGTTCAGATCCTTCATTCTGCTTTCCTTGTAAATGGAACTCCTCATTGTCCAACACGAATGAAGAACGCCTTCAGTAAGACACCCATCCAGCTCCCAGCAGGAAGGAAGCCTCAGCACCAACCACTGGTAATTCCACATGTGAAATAGAAAGAACTTCTGTTTTTAATCTATGCCCCTTAAACCATTTCACAACTAGCTTAAGGCTAATTTAAAAAAATCAGTTTTTATGTTTTTAAAGTCCTTTTTTGTCTTGTCTGTCCATTACACAGCAACAAGTCTCTCTTTCGAACTTTTAGTCTCTGAGGGCTGGATTTTTGTGGTGTCCTGTCGAGGTAATCCATAGAGGTAAATAGAAACGCAGACCAGGAGAGCACCCAGGGTAAAGGTAATAGCTGAAAAGAGACAAAACAGTTTAAGTAAACACCTCTGTGTAAGAAGAAACTTTCAGAAGACTGAGCTCTGTAAATTATGATGTCTGAATGACAGTCTCACAGTTAAACAGAACTAACCAGGACAACACGCTTTTTTTAATTCACAGGACTTAAAATCACACTCTGTTACTGAAAACTCTCAAGTGTTCACAGTACCCCACAACATTTCAGTTAGTGTCGCATCAGCAAGAATGGGGACATGATCAGAAAAGCAAGGGTGAAACACCTCCTGCAGTTCCAGGTGCAATCTGACAGGCTTACATTACCATAAACTTAAAAACACAGTGGATGTGTTTATGCAGCCAGCAATAACACACTGTCTGTGTTTTCAAACCTTGGTCCACTTGAGAAATACTATTAATGAGGCTTTCACAGAAAGAACAACCAGCAGTCCAGGTTTGGTTTGTGCCCAAACAACAGAAAGGTGTTCAGTCCAGGTGAGTTCTTAAACTAGCTGCTTTTCATCACCTGATTTAAGGTGCTCTTTTTCAGTCAGCAATGGTGCACGCAATGGCATGCAAACCTTCCTTAAATTCTACCTCATTGATACCAAATCAGAACAGTGTTTTTTCCACCACCATACCATACCAGCACTAGATTATGAGTATTATAGGAAAACTGAAAAAAACACATAGTGAAAGACTAAACAGGAGCCACCGGATGCATTAACAGATACAGAACTCCTTTGTGGCTGTGGGACAACCCGAAGCAATTTGCTGTTTCCTCTCACAGATGTTTACCACCTAAGGCACAACCCCAGGCACTGTTTGATGTGCTCTCACACACCACGGGGCACAGCAAAGGGGAAGGTGGAAGCTGGTGCAGCAGCACGTGTAACTTAACAGGATATGGTAAAACCTGTGCTGAAATAGGTAAGGAATTACTAATTTGAGACTGGCTGTAATAAAACCAGCAAGAAAGGATAACTTCTTATCAGCAGCTTTCTAGATAAATAGCTGTATCAATATGCAAACCAAACTGTATCAGAAAGTGATTCACGAACAAAGCTGGCTAAAGCAGCAAGGTGCTTTAACAGGAATGAACCTTTCCCCATGAAGTTATAGGATGCCTCAGAAAGAACAAACCACAAATGCAAGATCATCAGGTACCTTATTGCAACACAACACAGATTGTGTACTAACACATAGCAGTCCTGGAGAAGACCAAGTTAAAAACAGGAAAATTCAGAGGAGTTAAATACTTAAGAATGATTGCTTTGGTGTGAACTACATGCAGGTCTGCTAACAAGGAAGGAACACATGCAATCAAATCAAATGGCAAAAAGACACTTACTTATCTGGAGACCAAAGAGGATGACTGAGGCCACAGTAGAAAGAACAATGGCTGCTGCTGCAGAAAAGCCTTTCATTATGTTATCTGTGTACTTCACAACAACCGAAGTGTAGAGGCCACCCACACTGGCAAGAACTGGAAAGCAGACAACATGTTTCTGTTACTAGAGGTGTGGTAGTTCACCCTTAAAGAGATTTGTCTTATTCTGGTCTGTCCTTAGTCTACATCATCCTAACTGGTAAGTTAACATGGAGTAAAATGGCATACCTACAATGGCATCTAGATCAGATGTGACTCAACAAAAGATGCTCTGCTTGCTGCTCACTTAATTTAGACTGCTCTTTCAGTGCTATTTTAAATTGAACAAGAAAACACAATTTTCTTGAAAATTATTTAAAAATTAATCCCTCAAGATATAGTAAGAAACAGTGGGTCACACTGAACTTGTAGGTTCATGCAATCAGATGTAACATAAGCTAAAATACAACAAAACAATGTAACACCCCTATACCCACCAGGTACTTACAGATGACAAGCCAGACAAAGCAGGTATAGCCATAGAAAAACCCCTTCTCAAGAACTTGGGCTCCATCTGACACGTACACACCAACCAAAGTCACCACGATCCCCGATAAGTACATCTGAATATTCCTCACCCACAAGGAAGTATCTGAACTCTTCAATACCTTCTCAAAATAAACTCCTAAAAAAAAAATAAATAATAATTCAGTAAGATCAATGAAGCATCCACCTCAGGTGATTCACAGTTGAGTGTTTCAGAGCCAGATAAGACCACTGGAATCATCTCTTACAGACCTTTCCAAGTCCCAACAGCACGTCCTGCTAACATGTCTTCCAGGCAGGACCATTTCAATGTGTATAAAACATGAAAAATAGATTCTGTTTCTCTTTACAGTTGCATCAATTGTTGATGAGCTCCATTATATTTCACTTTGGCACCTGGTGGTATAATATCCCCAGGACAGTATTTATAGATTCTAGCATGGCATAGGATGATTTTTCCCCCCATTGGGATAGTTAGCAATACCAAAAAAAAACAAACCAACCCCCAAACAAAACCCAAAACATGCAAACAACAAACAAATGCAACCATCAGCAACAAAATTAGCCATCCACAAAAGGAACTCTGCTACCCAGGCATACCTCAGCACAGAGAGTCTGAGAATTCCTTTGGAAACCCAGAGTTTAGAGTGCAGATGTTCTGAAACCACAGCTTCAAAGATTACAACAGCAAACCAAAACCTATCTATGCTTTCTGCTAATTGGAGCTACAGATTGGTTTTGAGGAAATTGAGTTCATGCTAATTTAAAGCTCTTTGTCACAGTGCCACACTGATCACCACTACCTTCCCTTACTCTCTGCGCTGCTGAAAATCCACATCTGCTTCTCCATCACTCACGAGGTGCATGTCTGACTAAGAGGCCTCCATCTGACAGGTCACTGCTAGCAGCCTCCCACCACTGCTCCCGTACCAGGGCTCTGCTCATCTCTCAAACTTCCTTTGCATCCCATGGACAACCATTTGCAGGACTCAGATGACTTCCAGCTGTGAGTCCAACCAATTAAATGTTTACTGACCACTAATGCTGCCCAAGATCCAGCACACGATACAGAAAACATACAAGGAAGCAACAAAGCACAAAGAGCAGACCTATAGGTTAGATGCCCCAGACATACACTCTCCCTCCTGAAATGACTGAGCTGGCTTCAAAGAATGTCTTGCTACTCTTTAACCCATGGAAAATACAATTCAGAATTTAATACAGTATAGTGAGACTGTATGGTTAACAAATAACCTAGAACAGACACAGCTCAGGTGTTTAAGAAAAGCAACCACTTAAATACCCTACATGATTTTTTTCCCAAGTTTAAGCAACAGGATAAACAAAAAACTAGTCTTGTTAATGAT